TCTGGGCGCTGCGGGGTCGGCGTGGTCAGGCCCGCTCTGCAGCAGTCCCGAAGCCCCGCCTCTGGGCCGCCCCTGGCCCCGCCCCGCCCAGGACTCCCTCGAGGAGCCCCGCCCAGACCCCGCCCCTAACTCCGCCCCTGCACTCCGGCTGTAGTCCTCCCTGCCGCCGGAGTCTCTTCCGCGCGTGCCACGGCTATCGTCTGTTTTTGCAGCCTTTTCTCCTCAGCTGTTTTCACTAAGTTGATAAACCTCATCGTATGCTGGGCTTGGAGAGTACACTCAGACCGAGGAGAATCCCGAGACTCAAGAAAGCAGCCAGTAGACAGAATAAAACAAGTTCGAATCCTGTTGGGAGGGGCCTGACTAGAAGGATGCCTCGGAGAATTAGGGAAGAGGGACTCCTGCTTTCCGATGTGAGGCTCTGTCTATATGGCCAGAGCCCCCACTTTGTACATTAATGGCTGTGAGGGACCTCCTATCCGGCCTTTGGGGAAGCAAAGAACAGCCGGTTAGAAGGGCAGAGCTAACATCATCCTGTACAAAGCCTCTGAGGAGCTTGGCCTGGATGGGGCTGGCAAGGATTCTGTCCCCACTTCAGGAGGGAGGCCAAGGCAATAGGGACTTGATGTATAGACGAGTTCCAAAAGCCATTCACTTCTGGCTAGTTGGGTCGTGATCCACTTCTACAAGGATGAAAAACCACTGGCCTTAGAAACTCACGTGGGCCAGGCATGGTAAAGGTGGTGCATCCCTTTAATCCCAGCACTGAGGCAAGCAGGTAGGTCTCTTGTGAGCTCTGGGTTAGCCTGGTTTACATAGAAAGCTCCAGGCCAGCCAGGCTACATAATGAGACTTTGTCTCAAAAGAACAAAACAGAAACTCACCTGGTTTACACATCTGCATGTTTCTGAGGTAATTCTGGAATCTAGTTTTTATGGATATGATCATGAGGGTCATATCTAATTTTCTCCAAAAATCAAATTGATAGGTTAAATAAGTAACATGGACTGCAACATAATGGAGGGCTACACTGACATGTTCACTAAGTGAGAATACAAACTAAGTAAGTTTACTGGGAAATGCTTCTACAAGTCACTATACAAAATAATGCATGCAGTATTCTAACATTGATTTTTATTTTTTATTTGTTTGTTTGGGGGAGGGTATTTTGTTTTGTTTGGATTTGGGTTTGCTTTTTTCAAGACAAGGTTTCTCTGTAGCCCTGGCTGTCCTAAAACTCACTCTGTAATGACTGGCTTCCAACTCAGATCAGCCAGCCTCTGCCTCCAGGGTACTAGGATTAAAGGCCTGTACCACCACTGCCCAGCTAATGTTAATTTTTAAATGAATATACATAGACAAAATTTTGAACGATAAACCATTGAACATAGTGTTCCAAAGTAATAGGCTACAAATATCAGTGATTAGTGACTTATTCTTTTTTTTAAGATTTTCTCAAAAATTTTGTGTGCATGGGTGATTTGTTTGCCGCAGAAGCTTTGCACAGGGTGATGTTAGCTCTGCCTTTCTAACTAGCTGTTCTTTGCTTGCCAAAAAGCCAGAGAGGTGGTCCCTCACAGTTGTTAATTTACAGAACTGCCTGTAAAAGCAGGGGCTCTGACCATAGACAGATCTTTCATGTAGGGGTGCTACCTGTGTGCAGTGCCCATGAAGGACAGAAGAGGGAGTTGCATCCCCTGGAACTGGCCTTATAGATGGTGCTTAGCTACCATGTGGGTGCTGGGAATAGAACCCTGAGCCTCTGGAAGAGCAGCCAGTGCTCTTAACTGTTGATCCATCTCCCCAGCCCCTACCTGATACTTCTTAACGTTCTTCTGAATTTTATTCATTTTCTAGAATATGTGGATATTGTATTTACAGTCAGAAAAAATACAATAAGTATGTATGCTTGTCTTTGTGGTACTAAGGATTGAACCCAGGACCAAACAAACTAAATGTACCCTCTACTGCTAAACTACACCACTGATCCACAATGTACTCAGAGAGAGAGAAAAAAAGGAAAGAAAGAAAAGAAAAAAGAGAAAGAAAATACAGAAATCACTCATGAGATCTCTAGGATTGCTGTCACTACAATTGCTTCTGATTTACTGGCATCCCTGGAAGATTCACCTCCTCTATTTCTCCAAATAAAGACCTTTTGTTTGTTTGTTTTTCAAGACAGGGTTTCTCTGTGTAACCCTGGCTGTCCTGGAACTCACTCTGTAGACCAGGCTTGGCCTCAAACTCACAGAGTCTGCCTGCCTCTGCCTCCTGAGTGCTGAGATCAAAGGTGTGCGCCATCAGCGCTGCTGGCTTTTTTTTTTTTTTTAAAGACATGGTTGGTTGGGCAGTGGTAGCACGTGCATTTAATCCCAGTACTCAGGAGGCAGAGGCAGAGAGGTATCTGTGAGTTCGAGGCCAGCCAGGTCTATAAATCGAGTTCCAAGACAGTCAGGGCTGTTAGAAAGAGAAATGCTGTCTTGAAAAGGAGGAGGAGGAGGAGGAGGAGGAGGAGGAGGCAGCAGGGTTATCAAGTAGACCAGGCTGGCTTCAAACTCACAGAGATCTTCCTACCAAAGTGCTGAGATTAGAGGCATGTGCCACCACACCCAGTTAAGTCTGATAATTCTTGTCTTAAAGGTTATATAGATATTATAAATTGCATTTTCAAATTTATGACTTATTAAAGTGACTTTGACTTTTTGTATAATAACATTAAATTATATATATTATATATCCAGCAAACTTAACTCTTAGTTTTAATAAGACTTGAGGTATATTTAGATTTTCTGTATAAATAACCATCGTGTCCAAAAGTAATAGTAACTCACAGCTCCTGTCTAGTCTTGATCTAATTTTGAAGTGAGGATTTTAATTTATGGCGGAATCCTAGGATTACGGCCCCGGCTCATAGTGGGATAGCCATTCCTAGGTTTATTGATAGTTGTGTTGTTGGGGTAAATGTGTGTGGTAGGAGGCCTAAGAGATTTGTGGATCCAATAAATATCATTAGTGATACCAGTATTAATGATCATGTGTTTCCTTTTTTCTGCTGACTAAATTCGCACACATTGAGCTGAATACCACCCGTGACAATAGGCATCATTACATTGTTTTGCTTCTAACATGTCACCACTAAGTATGGTGTTGGCTATCAATTTTATCAGAGAAATCTTTGTAGAGTTAGGAAGCATCTGCTTTGCTATGAATGGGTGCTAATATAAGTTCTAGTCTTGAACTGTTGTTAAACTATTCATAGATTCTTGATGATTTATTACTTTTTTCACTATACTGCTGAATTTTCTTGGCTAGTATTTTATTAGGATATTTTGCTTCCATAATATGAAAGAGACAGGCCTACTTTTGTACATTATTTTTATATTACATTATTTTGTATATCCTTATGCAGTTTTGCTATCCAAGTAACCTGAGACTCTTAAACTAAGAAATTGTTGCACACAGCAGAGCTGCAACAGGGGTTTTCTGTAATTTAGTTCTGTAAATCATCCAGAGCTCTTGGTCAGGGATTGAGAGTGGAAAGGTTGCCCTGGTAACTATTTGACTCCAGACAACTCAGGGTTGCAAGCCTGTAGGGGAACACATGTAGGGGAACACAGCTCCTGGCTGGCAAATCCCCACCCATGCACCCACACTCCATTCCAATGATTCCTAGGACTCTTATTTTCCTGTGTAGCCTTTAGGTATCAAGGCTTCTGTGCTGAAGAGAGTCTGGATGGTCTTGTCTGCCCCAAGGCTGGGCTAGCCTGGAAGAGGCCGTTACTATGGCAGCTGCAAATGCAAAGGGAGGGAATCCAGACCAAAAGGCTGGGAGGCAAAGACAATGGAGAAAAGAGAGCCACAGCTGAAAAACCTGACCATGGAATTCAGCCTGCCATTCTGGGTTATTCTTTACCTCATTGCTGGTTGGTGGACCTCACCTCCCACTTGTCAGAGAATGTTGCATCTTCAGTGGAACTCCCAGGATCCCTCCTCTACCTGCTCTGGATTTACCTGCCTTTCACTGTTCTTTCTAACTAAGATGGCTAAGGGATTCTTTCCTGGCCAGGTGATGCCCACCTAGGTCCATCCCTGTTCTAGCTCTTTAGCCTCCCTAGAATGAGTTCTTCCACTCTGCCTCTGCCTACTCTGTCCAGATAAACAGCCACAGGACTCTACCTGATACTGACCAACAGATCTCTCTCTTGACCTAGTGACCCCTCCCTTTATTCTTTTTTGATACATCTTCCTGTTACAAATCCAGTCTCCTCATAGGGCCCACCTCCTACTTAAATTGGTCTTGCTAACACTAGTAGGACCTTCCTTGGTATTGAACAATCATGACTCAGGCCTCGGAGGTGGAGGTACCCAGTGTTCTGGGATGCCATACTCTCTGCTTTCCCCTTTTCTCTCTTCTCTCAAACTCAAAAAGACTTCTCTTGCTTTTCCCATTCTTTACACCCAAGTTTTGATGGCAACCTCCCCTCTCTATCCATCATTCTTCCCAGACTGGCTTCAGCCATTTCTATGAAGTTCATGGTTGTTTCTAAACCAAGCATT